ATGTTTTGTTAGTTTTGTACAAAAAATATAGTTCATGCTATAAACAAAACCATATAAATCAAACCTGTATACAAAATTAAGGAAAATTTAAAAAAATTTTAATCAAAACCTTTTTACTAAGATTTATAAAAAAAAAATCTGGTATGCAGTTTTGTAGCCAATTCAATTTTAGTATAACAATGTACAAATTCGAAGTGGCTAAAAAATCGCGTTGATTTTTAATAATTTTTTCTTGACAGCTTTACGTATTCTATAAAAAAAAACGCTCATAACTTGTATGGAGAAAAATGCCTATAGCCGTCAGCAAAAAGATTATTAAAAATCATTGCGATTTCTTAGAGGGCACTGAGAAGGCAACACTTTTCTGTAGAAAATAAAACGCCATGAAATTCGTTAAATTTTCCTTAATTTTCTATACAGTCTGATTTAAAAGCTTTTGTTTATAGTATAAACCATATATTTTTTTTAAATAACAAAAAAAAATATAGCTTGCAAAATATTTAGAATATCAAAAAAAAAAAATAAGCTGTGCGCAAATATAATAGAGTGAGCGTGTATACCTATGTACATATGGATTAAATTTTATGGCAGCCATCTGTTTCACTTTTTTTAAAGGCGGATGCCGGAAACAAAGTTTGAGAACAATGGTTCTAGACAATATCCGATACAATAAAATAACGCATGGACCGAAATTTCTATGCGTTTCTTCCACTACCTCAGCTTGATAAAAAAATATAAGAAAAAATACCTTAAACATTGCTATTCCGAGAAGAGGCTTGTTAAAGTTATGTAGAAAAGCAGCCACGCCTTCTTATCCTCTAGTTTTCTTGTCAACAAAATGCTATACCTTAGAAAATCATTACTACCTGTACAAAACACATGAATAAAAATTAGGCTTACCTAACCCACTAAGATAAAAGGATGGCCAAGGACAGTGCAAAAATTGAACCAAACATTAAACAGGTAGTACAGGTAACATTGCTTTTGTAAGGGTTACATTTTAGGTTGTTAGCAAAAACTATACGGACAGGTACAGGCAGAATTAATCAAGTTCACCTAAAAAGTGCTATAAATACGGTGAACAAGTTTTCTTCCAATCAATGCAAAATCTGCAGCCACGCACGAAATACGTAACAGCAAATTTTATTGAACAAGGAGGCGCGCACAAAGACTATAGAATGTCCAACCTAATCATCAATATCGAAGTGAAAAAATGCGAAGGAGCACCACAAGGCGTTGAATTCATATATCATTATGGCGATGGACAAGTTGTAACTTCACATACACCGCCGACATCGTACTACACC